GAGGAGACAGTCAGACATGCTGTGGTGGTGTTGTCTTAAACCCAAACTGTGATGAATTAGAATTATCAATAATAATCAATATCTGTAGAAACATTTCATCATAATATACTTTATAGCCGTATCTCAGAGCTTTAACTTTTCCAGATTTCTGCTTATAATACAGCTTTAAACATTCAAATGAAGACATTTCGGCACTTTTCCCACATAATCACTATATATTTAGCACATATTCTTGCACATAGCTTACAGAGACACGTATATATCCGCTCATGAGTGCAAGGTTGGACTGTGCAAGCTACAATAGTTTAAGTACAAAGAGCTTAATTAGCGTTAGCAAACAACACCAGCAAAAAAAATGTCCTTGTCAAAAGTCAATAGCTGTCAATAATTAAATGATAAAAACATCACCAATAGTAACTGGGAAAGTATAAGAGATTTCAAGCAGTGATTTTGGAAATCAAACTTAGCTTAGCTTAGCTGGAGGAATGCTAACATTATTGAAGCTAACTTAGCTGTTGGCCTTGTGAATGTTTCTTCGATTCAGTGATAATAAGGGATTATTTTATCTTATATTTTTTGTTTCTTAAAGTCCAGAATTGATGTGGCTAACATCATAAGCAACTCCAAATGTATTACGCTATAGTTTTCCATTTAATGAAAGTGAGTTTTTCCTCAAGATCGATAAAATGCTAATATACCCATTTGGTTTGAAAGAGCACTTTTCTTGTCCTTAATTTTCAGACGTGTTGATATACATTGCACAGACTGAGACATTTTAAAAAAAAAGGTTATTGATGTTTTGGCTAGGCCCCAGCCCCCACGCGACCCGAGTGAGGATTAAGCGGTGTATAGATAATGCATGGATGGATGGATGGATATTTTGGCTAATTGGCTGTTTTGAGAAATATAAGTTGTTTTTTGATGCTTTTGCTGGTGCCTTTTTAACTACTTGAAAGATTCCAGCAAAGTCATGATAATAATCCAATCACAGTGGTCGTCACGGTAATCCTAAATCATCCCGTATCCGTATTTAGTGTCTCTCTCTTGCCATCCTTTCCTCTTCAGCTCAGTTTTCTTCCTTTCCATCTTTGTAACTCTTACCCTTTACACTCACACAGTTGTTCCCCTGCTTCTGTCTCTTCTAACAATCCTCCGAGCACCTCCCCCCCGTCCACCCCATCCCTCCATCCCTGCCACAACCGGCAGCATAGTCGCTGCTCCCTCTACTGGCCACCTTCATGCACTGTGGGCAGGCTCAGCCGTTGCCAGGGGTGACTGCATCCTGGAGCTATGGTTTGTCTGGCAGAAGCGGGTGGTTGCCGTTTCGCACGGATGAATATTGAAGCTCTGCATTCACCCTTAAATGAGATGTACAGGAGAGAGAGAGAGAAAAAAAAAAGATTGCATTGAAATGGCGCAAAAATAAACAGAGGGCAAAAGGCGAGAGAATAAATGACAGACAGAGAGATGGAAAGGCAGAAAAGTCAGAACTCACATTCAAGGTATCAAAACAAACAGGCCCTTTGCTCTCTTGATTCATCCATTTACTTCTTCATGCATAATCTAACTCTGTGAAACTGAAAATTTATCGGAGGCTTTAATGGTCCAAGCGCCGGAGCTGCAATTGGTGCAAAGAGAAAACCATTAAGCTTCCTAAAAATAGATTAGATGCTAGATAGAGAAATTCACAAAAAACATGACTTGCAGCAAAACTATGTTGTGGAAATGTTCTACATCAACTTGAAATTTCCCTTTAAATGTTACACAACATCAGACGGACAGGAATGTGAGCAAAATCAGTGCGACATTAGTTCAAATTTGCTGGAAATGTGTGCGAAATGTCGGATTACAGTTAAATAAAAAATTGCAATGTAGATTTTGAATTCACACATTTTAAGCTAGACTGGTAGTTTGTGTTGTTGTTTGCTGTCATTTACGCAGAGATCATGCCAAACTGAGGCAGTTTGCTTATTTTGCTGAGGTCCAGTCTTTTCAGATCTGCAGCATGGCCTTTAGCCGTGGCAGTTAAAAAGCCATTGAGGGAATGAAGGGCTTGGCTGCCGGTGCCGTGTCTGTTAATAAATGACCTCTTACTGGAATTAGCAACCAACCTGGAGAGGGATGGAGGAGGGGGTAGAGTGAAGACAAGGGAGGCTGGAATGGAGAGAGCAATGGAGGGGATGTGATTCAGATGCCAAATTTTGCCAGGGGAAAATTTGCTTTCTCTGCATCTGCTGCTATTGTTGTGATTTACTTAAATTTCTGCTTCTTTTTGGGCAGTTCCAGGCATTGACTACATCATGTTAAATACACAAATTAAATAGAAGCTGCTTTGCAAGTTGCCTTGTTGTCCCTTTGTGTCTGTGTGGTGAAAAGCACATTTATTTTGAAATTTTATTTAAGAATACAATGAAGCAGGGTTTTTAGTGTTGCATACATCTACAACACAACAATTTACTGCATACATTAAAGCATCGTGCCAATATACATTGCAGTATATCAAGTATGGTGCGACTGAATTAGAGCTGTTGCAAAACTGCATTCTTTTAATTACTCACAAGTTGCAGATTTGCCAAAATGAAAATCGGCTGTTGCTATGGACACTAGTGGGAAAAATCTTTGGAACCCATGAAGTGACCAGTTGCTGGGATGAAAAGGAAGATGAAGTGTAAAAGTGCATTTGTGGGAATCGTAACTAATAAGACCAATAGACTGAGATCCATATATTGACTGTCTCCTGTGCTTAACGGAGGGTCTTCCAATTTGAATGTCCAACAAGTATGAAGGATTACACACACACACACACACACACACAGAGTTGCACAGAAAGGCAAGAAATTGAGGCTATGTGACAATCTGTGTGGTCTTTTATATCCAATAACTGTGCAATTACAGTAAGTGAAATTACCTCAAAGGAGTTATGTTTGAGGTATTTGAGCTTTAAAACAAAAAATAGTTCTAATTTTTTTTTTTACCATCAGATGTCTGGCTCAAAGTCAGGTCTTGCCATGTGTCGTGCTCCTCCCCTCGTCTCTCTCCTCCTTCTCAGAGCATCCCCTCTGAACGCCCCCACACTTCACCCTCCCTCTCCTGTTGGACAGACCCTGCCTTCCGCCCCCGTACAAGACTGAGAATGGAATTTTCCAACCTGTCTCTGGCTGACTTTACACCAGAGCTTCACGCGCACACACAGTCCTGCACACTAAAAACACATAAAAAGCCGTCACAACATGTGTGGCAGCCACAGCAGACATCTTGTTACTGAATTCACATTCACAAGCATTGTTGTAAGATTGACATCTAGTAATTGTTTATTTATGTAAGACCCCTGTAAAGAACAACATGTTTGTTTTTTACCTTGTTGACATGCTCATATGGTGTCTTGTTTTTTATGTCTTATATGATGCAAGACACATGAGTGAAACAAGCCATGGTGGAGCATTTCCACTTTGAAACTGCAGTTTACAGGTGACAGTCTTAAAAAGGTGGATTCAGACTTCCAGGGTTTCATGCACAGCAAACTAAAGGAGCCTCTCCTGTCAACTTGTATTCTTCTTCTTCAGAATTGGTTTACAGTTCACACATATATGTCTGGATGACTCCAGTGTTACAACTTCCCATTGAGTGAGCAGAGCTGTAGGTGAGCTGGTGTGCTCGAGCTGCAAGAGAGGGGAGGTTTGGGTGGAGAGAGAGGTGGGGACTACATCTATCATTCCAGAGGAAACAACTGTGTGGAGTTACATTTAAGCCATTTCAGGGAACATAGGGATTATTTTCATAAACTTTCATGAACATCAACGTTATTATCCCTAATTATTGTCGTAATAGTTTTAAATAGGTGACGCGGTGGTTAGCACCGTTGCCTCGCAGCAAGAAGGTCGCCAGTTCGCATCCCAGTGAGGACACCCAAGATCTTTCTGTGTGGAGTTTGCATGTTCTCCCCATGCAGCGTGAGTTCTCTCCAGGTTCTCCGGCTTCCTCCCACAAAGTCAAAATTGGTTAATTGGTGATTCTAAATTGTCCGTAGGTGTGAATGTGAGTGTGCTTGGTTGTCTGTCTCTAAGTGTAGCCCTGTGATAGACTGGTGACCTGTCCATGGTGTCCTCTGCCTTCACCCTAAGTCAGCTGGGATAGGTCAAGCCCCTGTGACCCTAGAGAGGATTAAGCGGTGTATAGATGATGGATGGATGGATGGATGGATAGTTTTAAATATTTGAGCAGCAAAAAAAATCATGCCGATCATGCAGACCTTAAAACCATAGAAACATGCTTCTGGTCTTTTATCAATGACATTTAGAATTCCAATGAAATTTAAGTTCACATAAGATATGTTATTAGTTTCATACTTGTGTGTGTTCTTAGAAACTGACTGGTGAGTTTTGTGTCTGAAAAGTTCAGTCAGCTCTTGGTTCATTTATTTTTAATTCTTTTTTTCTACCTTATTTTTAGTCTTGGCTAGTTCCGTGTCTCTCTAAATGTTTTCCAGCTGTAAATCCAGACTGTGTGATTCTATCTGGCCCAAGCCTGAAGTTTTGCCGTTGACACTTTCTTTTGTCAGAACATGTCAGTGTCAGTAGCCTCAGTGATCTGCATTGGCACATTGTGCTACACAGTAGTGCTGCAGCTATTTGTACACTCAGCTGCCAGTTTATTAGGCACACCCAGCAAAAACTAAATTCTCCATTCATTAAGGTTGTAATGTTCAGCTTTTGCTGAAAGAGATTGGAGGAAGTGATGTCATTATTGCTTTAAACAAAGAGACATAAACGAGGTGGAACCGTACAGCTCAGCAACACTCCAATATGACCATAAAGTTGAAGCAACACTGAATACAAAACTGAATATTATAACCCTTTTAATCATTGTATTAGAATTAATTGGTTTTTGCAAGGTGTACCTAATAAACTGGCAAAAGCTTCAATAACTTCAATAAATTTGATTGTATTCAGAGATGTTCTCTGTCACTCATGGTGGTCCTGGTTTTCTCTGTGTCCCTGCAGTATTTTGTCGTCAGTGGGGTCTCAGCTTGATCTGAGGACGCTACGAGCCGTCAGAGTGCTGCGACCACTTAAACTGGTGTCTGGAATTCCCAGTAAGTGTGTTTCTTATTTATATTGTTTCCTTGTGTGACATGTTACTGTTTATTACATTTTGTTTTTTTCACCTTACACAGCAGCTGCTAATATTAAAAAAAATGACTTGAGGACAGAAAACAAACAAGTTGAATGAACCCATACATTTATTTGCTTCAACCTGAAATGGCAAATTTTAATTTTGGACCCTTAGTTGATTTTGTTTTTTCATTTTTAATGTACTGCTCGGTGATCAGCAGCCTTTGAACAGTGCAACAGGCCTCAGTACAATCTCTAACTAGAACTGGCTGTTTGTTTTTGACTCCGTCCTCCAGGCCTGCAGGTGGTGCTCAAGTCCATTATGAAGGCTATGATCCCCCTGCTGCAGATTGGCCTGCTGCTGTTTGTGGCCATCCTCATGTTTGCCATCATCGGCCTGGAGTTCTACATGGGAAAATTCCACACCACCTGCTACGATGAAAACACAGGTAAGAGAAAAGTGACAGAATGATCTATTGATGCTGACAGCAGTTAAACAAAGAAAGCCACATGATGATGGCTGAGTTCCATTTAGCTGCTGCAGTTTTAGGATGTGAGTATTGTCACACCCTTGCAGATTATGAAGACATTTGAACAGGACAGAGCCAATGACAGTGTTACAGATTCAGACTATCAGCATTTCATGTGTAACAAACCATTATTCTACTTCAGAACTGGTTTCTAGTTCAAGCATGTCTGGCTGAATTAATCCAGTCTTACAATATTTGTGTGGCATAGAGTAGTTTTACAGTATTTGAGCAGAGCCATGGATGAGCAGGGGTGCTCGAGCTGCAGCAAGTGGTGGAGGGCTGCATGGAAAGAGAGGCAGGGGTTTCTCAGACCTGCACATCCTGAAGGAAGCAACAGTGTAGAGTTACATCTAAGCCATGTTAAGACAGGAAGGGATTATTTATATAAAACAATTCTAAATATGCATCTTTGACACAAAGAGTTTTCAGGGGGTCAATCAATGACTGGAGAGGTTTAAAGCCAGTGTGCAAGATTTTTAGATATAAATCGATGTATGTTGCATGTAAGCCCTGACAAACAAGGTCATACAATGCTGACTAAGACTGTCGGCGACTGTCAACCAGCGTTCTGGTTTCTGTGGCGACTTTCCTGCTCTGGTGCACCAGTAGTGGTGTGTTTGACTTCAACTAGCAACTATTGGTTTGCCAGAACAAAACAGGGGAATGCCCTGTGATAGACTGGTGACCTGTGCAGGGTGTCCCATGCCTTCACCCCAAGTCAGCTGGGATAGACTCCAGCTCCCAGTGACCCTACAGTTGATAAAGGTATAAGAAGCGACCATAAAGATGGACAGGGAGTAGCCTACAGCAAATGGTAAATGGTGGAAAAGCCGAGGAAGCAGTGTTCAAAGAAAGGATTGCAGTCTTAAAATGAAAGCAATCAAGACATACATCAGAATTACTCTAGCTGCCAGAAGGGGGAGGTAAAAGTTTTAAAGTAGTATTGAATGTCAAAATGTCTGCTGTATAAAACCCAGAGCCATGGAACCAAGGACCAGCAAGCCGAAGAAATGCAGCCTTCATTTCTTACACCTTTATTTAACAGTTCCACAGGTCCATTGTGAAATGAGTCTTACATTTTGTCTACGTTATCGAACAGATAACACTGTTGTAACACTGTTGACTGTTAAGCTTTTGCTTTCTGTTCCCAACATGACTGCTTTTGGTATTTCACTGCAAAGGTGGATCTTTCTCTGTCTGTGTCTGAACAGGAGAGGTAGTGGATGAACTGCCATGTGGCAACGAGTTGCCGTCGCGGTTGTGTCCGAATGGCACGGTGTGTAAACACGGCTGGCTTGGACCCAACTACGGCATCACCCAGTTCGACAACATCCTGTTCGCCGTGCTCACCGTCTTCCAGTGCATCACCATGGAGGGATGGACAGACATGCTCTACTACGTATGTTTGCTTCACCAGCTTAGCTAAACTTTTGCATTTAACACATCATGTCATATCATGTAGCTAAGTTGAAACAAAGCCAACCTGACCTATTCCTCCCGCAATTAAATCTGACTTTTATTGTACAGATCTTTAAACAAGCTTCACTAACCCCCCCAGAAGAAACAGGTATTTGGGGAAGCAGGAGTATGGACTAGCCAAGTAGCCAGATGAATGGAAAAAATAATGAGGCTGCAGTGTGTTACAATAATGCCATAGTCTGCATTGGTGTGGTTTGTATTAGTATCATTGAAACCACTGAAGGACTTACTATAGGGTGGGTGGGGTTGGAGGTTGGCTTAAATTTCATTTATCTAAATGAAGCATAAAGCAGTTTGTGATTTGATTCAAAACACCATTTATTTGTCCAAAAGCCATTTTCCCTCATCGTTATCATTATCTGTTTGACTTCCTTTATCCGTCTTCTCATCTGTCCTTTCCCTGCCTTCAGAGTCGCTCTCCTTCCCTCTCCGCCTCCTTCTCTTCCACTCTCTATTCTGGTCCGTCTCGCTCTATATTTAACATCTTTTCTGATGGATGGAGGCTGACTTCCACACTCACACAAGCAGTCAGGAGGAAAACCAATGAAAGTTTAATAGAGAATGGGCTGCTTGCATTGTACCATGCAGTATAAAACCTAACACATGCACACGGCAGTCCAGCAGCAGATAATAATCAGCTGATAGTTCCATTAGCGCGTTACACGGCTCACAGAAACATGATATTTTCCAGTAACCTGCTTTCTGTGATTGTCAGTCGAGTTTGTTTAGTGAAAGGAATAAGTGACACCATGTCGGACAGTTTTGTTGGTCACCAGACACCTCGCTGCAATCAATGTCTGTGAAAGCAGAAATGTCTACAACACAAAACCAGACATGGTTTGTGTCTTTATGTTGTTGTTTCTAATTGCAAACACGAACTCTTCTCTGCATCCAGGTCAGGCTTTAAGTTAGAAAATGGGTCACGTCTGAGCCAGCATAATGTACATACTGTACTTTAGCTCTCCTTGGATCTTTTGCATTATAGAAAAAGTTGAACGGTCTATTTCGGTGGCTTCAGTTAGTTTTTTATGAATCAAGTGGTCCGATGAAAGTTGAGGTTTGCAAGAGCTCAGATTAAAAATCAAGATTCCAAATCACACACAATACAGTCAGGAGTCACAGAGATCACAACTGAGAAAATATTAACTGCCTGAGCTGGACACAATTGTATATTAAATAGTTTTTAAAATAATAAAATGAAATAATAACACACGATACTTCTTGTGGCAGTGACATGCCAACAAAGTCATGCCACAAAAAGGCAACAAAAAAGAAATACAGACATGTATTTACCTAATACGATATATAAAATATTCACTAAGCTGGCTTTGCAAATGTTTGTTACACCTCGAGGATTCACACCTTATGTTTAGGTGAGGAACAATAAATGCAAACTTAACTTTTGTGTCTGTAAACGTCACAAGGCCTCTTTAACTTCAAGATTTCTTGCAGACAATTCCACCAGTAGGTGCTCGGTGCCAGTTGGTAAAAGGATTATTTAGAGCAAAACAAATGAAATTATGTACCCTCAAAAACGCTATGTTAGACTGAGAAATGTGGTCCGTGCCCGATGCAGTGTCAGAACACACACGATTAAGAATAGCACATAAAAAATTCAACACTTGTTCTGGTCAGGTCATCACCAGTCCTGATTAGAGCAGTAGAACCTACACATTTATATGTATTACGAGATCAGTAATAAGACGTGGTGTGTGTCTCTTGCAGAGCAACGATGTGGAGGGCAGCGCCTGGAACTGGATGTACTACATCCCCCTCATCATCATCGGCTCCTTCTTCATGCTCAACCTGGTGCTGGGTGTACTCTCAGGGTATCGTCCTCTTCTTTATTTTGTTACAACACAACACTGTAAACTTCTGTATGCTTTCTGTGATTTTCTGCTTTGTTCTTTCAAAAAAAATGAGCAGAGTAAAACTGAACAAATGTTCCCACAGTGAATTTGCCAAAGAGAGAGAGCGAGTGGAGAACAGGAGCGAGTTCCTCAAGCTGAGGCGGCAGCAGCAGATTGAGAGAGAGCTCAACGGATACCTGGAGTGGATCTGCAAAGCAGGTCAGTGCTCACTGACAAACACACTCGCTCTGACACACACTGCTCCTGTACACATGCTGAAGGTTGGCAAAACCAACCAAATCCTGACACGATGCACTAACATCTTGTTTTTTTTTTATTCATACAGAGGAGGTGATTCTGGCTGAGGAAGACGCCACAGGGAACTTTGATGGTAACGACATGTCTTTACTTGCTCTGTGCATAGCTGTACTGAAAGGAAGTGTAGAGTTTGAGCTACAGTATGTGGAGAATAGAGATTAAGCAAATGATGGATTGGCATTCGCAGTGTATGTTTAGGTCACAAGAAGACGTTAGATTTGTTCAAATAAGCAGCAATGCATGGCTTCTATGCAACTAATGCCCCTAGTGAATAAATAAAAGTACAAGAAATGTATGTAAGACAAAATATGAACAAAAATCTCAAAACACAATTCTAACGAGCTGGTTTGTTACAAGTTTTAGCGGTGCTTTAGCTAACAATGCCAAGCAATTTTAGAACTGCTCATTTGAATGTGTAAATGTGGAATTTACCACAGTACACCAGCAAGTGACAGACTCTGTGGGAAGGGTGAGAAAGCGACATTTGAGAGATAGGCAGATGAAGAAACAATTCTCTTTTTTTCTCTTTTCTCTTGCTAGGTTCGAGGCGAAGGCCAACCATCAAAACCAAAAACAACAAGACAGAGCTGCTGAACCCTGAGGAAGGCGAGGACAACATAGGGGACGCAGTAGGTAAGAAAAACAGAGGGATGGATAAGACGGTATGCTGGGGATGGAAGCTTATGAGGGTAAAGAAATGTTTTTAAAGCTCATTCACACAAGTCGTTTCAGCTGCATAGTCCAAGTCATGTGTGAAGGTGAGAAGTTTCTTATCCAGACTTGTTAACTGTGAGGACTGCTGCAGCAAGAAACAACATAATATAAGGTTTCAGGATATTCTAGGTCCGAAATGTAAAAACAGGAAATGCCATAAATTCTACAACACTAGGCCAGTTTCAGAAAAATGTTGGCATCCCACTGCTGACATGTTGCTCTTTGTAAATTGGGAAAGTTAACAGAAAAGCCAAGGGCTGTAAAGGAGTCGGGGAGAAAGACTAATTTAGTCTTATGTCATCTTAAGTTAAGGATGAGTTTTATATTTTCCACACTGGGGGTGTTGATGAGTCCTAAAATGAAAATTAAATCAGTCAAATTCAAACATACAGCATCTTGACTCCCTCTTTTCTCGTAGGTTTTGCACGCTCCAGTATTAAGAGCGGTAAGGAGGGCTCCAATTACAGTAAGAAAGAGCGACGGCTGCGATTCTTCATCCGCAAGATAGTGAAGACGCAGGCTTTCTATTGGACGGTGCTCTGCCTGGTGGGCCTCAACACCATGTGTGTGGCTGCGGTGCATTACAACCAGCCTGAACTGCTCTCTGACTTCCTCTGTGAGTAAACGTGCAGGAAACACTGGATTCACACTGGTACACATTCACACATGCATACATACCAGATATATTAGATAGTCTATGTAACACACTTGTGTACACACTACAACATCAGCTTTTCCAGGAACCTTCTGACAAACTCAGGAACTTTACCTCCTTTACAAGGTCGCAGACAAAGATGCTGACTGCACACTGACTGACACCAGCACCCAAGATAGGATCGTAACCCTCTGAACCCTCAAACAGCTTCTGGTTGTCTTTTGATCCTGTCACATTTTTACAGACTGTGGGCTCATCAATATAAAGTCCTACACCAAAATGGGAGTAACACAACCATGGCTAGAAGGAGAGACAACTCCAAAATGTCCATTAAAACAGTTACAATATGACAAATCCCATTAAAAGAAAAAATAAATACATTTCTCTGATTGATTTTACACAAATCGGAAATCAACATGATTCATCACATCAAGGAATTTTATAGGAGAAAGTGTTTTTGATGAAACATAGATTTTAAGCTTAGATTTTTCAGTTGTTTATTTTTTTGAAGGAGCAGTGCACCACACATGGTTAGTTAAAGGAATGTCAGAAAGTTGAAGTTTACAGTTTGTGGCTCAGTTAAAAAGTGAATGTTCATGTTCAGAGTGTCAATATATTATTGACAATCATTAAGGGCCAATTCCCAACAAAGAGAGAGAAGAAATAAATGGAGAGATTGATTAGGATAATTTACTGTGGTGTACATTTTCTACTGTTACAGCGTATGCCTTGTTTGATAATATACATTTACTATGTGTGTGTTTTGTTTGGACTGACTTTGCCTAAAGGATGCAAAATTCAACATGAACATCTGCAGCCACATGTACCATATTCCACTGGTCTTTAATCACCGCCGCTGCCCACTCTCACTTCGTCCCAACCTGAATCATCTTTTTACACTTCAAATCTACTGTTTCCTCCCACACATGCAAACAAAGCATTTACAATTTTAACTCCTTTAAATAGCAGAAACATGGTGTGTTTTCTCTATTAACCAAACACTGTCTGGTCCTGCACAATTTTCTGGAATACAATGTGCTTTCTTTTAAATGGTACAAACTTCTCCTATGTACCTGCCTTGATTCTGTTTTGATAGCCGGTGGTGGCAGCTTTAAAGTGTTTGCTGAGAAGAAATGCACTTTTAGGATTTCAAGTGCAAGACATCAACATCATGTTCACTGTTGTCCGTTGACCTTCTGAACTCCCAGCAGCTCCCCAGGCAGTACAGCCATGGCTAGAAGTAGAGCGACTTCAAAAAATGCCTTCTGTGCAGCGTAACAAAGTTATAATGACATAAATTATAGAAAACGACAAAATAAAAGTTGGATTTTTTTTTTTTTTTAATTTACGACAATTGAAAAAATCTAGAATCAACATACAACTAACATGTTTCCCAAGTGCCCACAAGTGTTAAACGATGGTGGATAAAAAGGTCACTCTACATACTATAAACATTTTACGTACATTTGGTCCACACTTGTGACTTTTGGTCGCAGCTGATTTATTAAATTTCACGAGCTTCACAGTGGTGCCAAGAAGTGCAGGGGTTTTTTTTTAAATTATTTTATGCGGGGTGTTTTTCAAATGAGACATGTAGAATTAAGTTATTTTGATAAAATAATCATCATTTTAAGCCTACATCTGCGAGTTCAGAGGGTTAACTGAAATACAATTCCTAAAGTTTAGGCTCAGGAAAGCAAGAAGTTGTGTCTACTCCATATTGATGTTATAATTCACAGTCTGGTTTTGGAGTTTAAGTTGACTGACATTATTTCGTTCTTTATTTTAGTTTAAGATGCAGACTTGCTGCTGACATCACACACACACACACACACACACACACACACACACACACACACAGAGCCCTCGGTACAAGCAGCTCGCTGTCTCTGGTCGGTGTCCAGTGGCATTAGCATATGAAGCTGTAGTTGCTGATGGAGTCCATTCATCACCACACTGTCATACACCGCTGGGCTCACACCACTATTGACTTCCACTTATTTCTTCGTCTCTCCCTCACTCTCGCATCCCTCCCTCCCTTTTGTTTTACCTCCCCTACCCTCCCCTCTTCTCCCTGTTTCCTCTGTCTTTGTTATCTGATTTTGTTCTTCTCCGCCTCTTTCTTTCCCCTCTGTGACCTCACTTTCTCTCATTTTCACCTTTCTCTGTCCACACATTTATTTCACTCTCTGCTCCTATCTCCTCATCCCTGCTTTCTCTTTTGCACGAAATACCTCCTATTTTCTTTATCCTCACCTTCTCTCCTTACCTTCCTTCTCTCCTTCTCCTTCCAGTCTATGCAGAGTTTATTTTCCTCGGTTTGTTCATGTCTGAGATGCTGATCAAGATGTATGGTCTGGGCATCCAGCCCTACTTCCACTCCTCATTCAACTGCTTTGACTGTGTGGTGAGTGTACACACACACACACACACCTACACACACACACACACACACACACACACACACACACTGTGACTAAGTGAAAAAAAACAAAACAAATTCAGCTCATAACTATCAGGTTTTGTCGACAAATCCAACACTCCATTTAATCATCACATTTGAGAAATAGATTTTTCTCATGTTGTCCTGCAACAAAATGATTCAGCATTGCTTTTGTCACAAGTGCGCTTTTACACTAAATGTGCAATAACTGTGCATTAATTTGTCATGCAGAGATTGTTGCTGAGGCTTACTGGCTCATTACTTCAGATTACATGCTGACATGCAACACCGTGTTCAGTCATCTGGCTCTGAATACTCCTGCTCTTACGTGGAGTTTTTTGCTATTTGTGTAATTAATTGCATCAATTAGATTTTGGATTTATATTTAGAAATATATGTAGAGAGAGATATATATTATACATTGTGATGATTATTCATCTAAACTCAACTGAAAAGGCTCTGTGGTTATTTCACAAAGCTTCCATGGCTGCAGGAGCTTCATAAACATCAGTTGCTGCCAGTCAGAGTAGAAGAGAACTGGATGTTTAAAGTCGCTGCAAACAGAGTTTGAGTTCATTATCTTGCTGTTTATGAAACAATTTGTCAAAGCTTTAGTCATTTTTTAATCCTGAAGAACAGTGTGCAAAACATTGCTGATTGATGAAGATACAGAAGCGTCCTCCAGGGTGTAACAATGCATCACTGAAGTGGTGGACACGTTAAACCTGACCACAGACAGTTTGGTTCCTCTTTATTGTTTTTTCTTTCTTCGTCGTTTTCTTTATTGGTCCACAGCACAACCGTCGCAACAAACAATTCCAGTCATTTACAAAAATTAAAATGTGAAAGTCTAGTTTCCCTCCTTACAGTAGAAAGTTTCCCCTGAAAGTTTAGAGCAAACGGGCGATATTCATGTCTTGGCGAAGTGAGTCGTGAGTAAGTGACCGATATACATTAAAAGCCATATTTTATACAAGATAACATTTTGATAAGCAAGAAAAGATGCTTTATAATTGTTAAATGCACTGAAATAATGGTTAGAAACAAACATGTAGCATACATTTTAGTGCTGGCTTGTTAAGAGTAGAGCCTAAATGGTCCAGTGGAGAGGACAGGACATTTTGCAATGAACCTTATTTATGTTCATATTGAGTTTCCTTAATATAAAGTTAATTCCTCGTTAGTGAACATTGAGCTGTCTAGAAATTAGACAAGAATAAAACATGCAACATGAAAAGGTTTTGTTCAAGCTCAGATATATAATTCAGTTAATGTCGCACATGTTTTTTTTTATTTATACATTTGAAATATTATTTATTTATAATGACCTAATTAATCAATAACATAATTTTAAAAATCCAAAATATAGGTATTGTCATCAGTATTGGCCCCAAAAAGTTGAAGTCTATGCCCTGTTGTGAAATACATCTGTGTGTTGTGTATTTTAATATGTTGTGTTTTAACTGTCAGTAGTGAAGATGTACTCCTCTGGCTTATTCAGTGGAGTTTTGTCCTGGACTTTGGATAGAAGGATTAAAGATTTTTAGTCTTTAACGGCAAGCACAAGTAAAACATAAATATAATAGTCGTGTCTCTTATGCCGTGACCAGGGATTATCAGTTGTATGTGGGGTTTTTTTTGTTTTTTGTTTTAGCTTCTAATCAATAAATACTAACTAGCTGCTGAATATACTCCACAGGATTGATTGTGTTGCATTGTCTGTGTGCGTGCAGGTAATCGTGGGCAGTATCTTCGAGGTTGTGTGGGCCACCATTAAACCAGGCACATCTTTCGGAATCAGTGTGCTCCGAGCTCTGCGACTGCTCCGCATCTTCAAAGTCACCAAGTAAGTTTCTCTGTCTGTCATTCTCAAACACTCACCCTCTTACATATGCATGCGCTTCCATCAGCTCGCTCATGCACAAATACGACAGTGACGACAATGAGGATCGTGATGACAGGTTGCGGCGCCGCTTTGAAGGAGATTTTGGTGTTTCTGACTGAAAATCTTCTCGCTGGTGTAACATCTAAACAGTTTTGATGCTTTAGCACTTTGACACTTGTTTGACGCTCTCTTCAGGAGAGATTTTAATTGGTTTTGGCTCATGCACATAGTTCTGTTTTGTTTGCATGCTAACTTTCCTGCTTGTCACGACGCCGCTCATTTGGACACTTCTCACTTGAAGAGGAGACTTAAAATCTCAGTGGGGATGTCTGGTTATGTAATGTTAAGATAATGGAATGAAAAATATGTCATGTGTATTTGAGGTGATGGTCAATGGGGTTTAATAACTTCCTGTATAGGGCAATATGTTAGTTAGCACTATGGTTACTGTCTTTTAATCGGAGCTGGGATGCTCAGCTTCAATCTATTTAGGTTTAAACAGATGTGACCAGGCTCTGCTCGATCTTAAATCTATGTTGGGCCTGAAGTTTACTGTCCCAGAAACTGTGACATAATTATCTAAACTAATAAGAAATAGATAGTAGCAGGATTTGTTAATACATACAGTTCAATGCACTTATGTTAGGAATCTGTTTTATGTTTCTTTTAATCTCCCTTGATGTTTTTAGTCCCACCTATCCTCCATCACTGCCCTCCATCCTGTCTCTTTTCATCTCTCTTACTTTACTTTCTCATCTTCTCTGCCTTTCTCATTTGTTCCCAGTTTTGCTCCTCTTTCATTGCTCCTTCAGAGGCCTTCTTCTTACTCATACATTTCTCCTCCGCAGATACTGGGCTCCTCTTCGAAACCTGGTGGTGTCTCTGCTGAACTCCATGAAGTCCATTGTCAGTTTGCTCTTCCTCCTCTTCCTCTTCATCGTGGTCTTTGCCTTGTTGGGGATGCAGCTGTTTGGAGGACAGTCAGTATCAATGCAAACTTAAAAATAAGCTCGATTCTGAGTATTTAATCCGTATCTGTCTTGTTTTGCGTATGTGACTAATGACGTTTTCTTTATTTCTTCTCAGATTTAACTTTGAAATTGGAACCCCGCCCACTAACTTTGATACTTTTGCAGCGGCAATCATGACAGTGTTTCAGGTAGGAAATAAAGAGTTGAACGTGTATTTATGGTTCTGTAAAAAAAGAAGTTAGTATTGATATGATCTAGCCCGCCACAAAAGACAAACACATAATCTCCCTGAACACAGAGCTATCTGCGTACCATCAGCTTCAGATTTATGACCTTTTTTCCCCCCCAGTATTTACGGAGATAAATTCATTCAGTTAAATACGTTTTACAGTGTAGCTGAATGATCTGGTCTTTTGCAAACTGGACACCATGAATTACTGTATTCCATCCATGACTGCCAGCACACTCATACATACTCATGTACATTTTCAGCAAACTTGAACTGCTTTGAAAGAATGGAATTTAATGAAGCCCGTTGTTGTCACGACATCAGTTTTTGTCAGCTGACTTGTTCAGTTGTGACTGCGGTCTCCATGTTTCTGTGTTCTCAGCACTGAGCTAGAAAGACAGCTTTTGTTACAAGCAAATTGTGTTGCTGTTTTGTCTCTGACTGACTGTGTGTGCATGTATGCTGATGCATCAGTGTGCCAGAGGTATCTTTACGATAGAGGACATTTAATGGCTTTATTTGCAGTGACTTATATATAAGGCATTGTTTTTGGGGTGGGCTCTCATAAAAATCTGTTTTTGAAAATTAAAGTGATGTATTTAATTGATTGCGAGTCGTCACTCATGTCGTAAGGATATGTTTTAGTAGAGACAAGGTGAAAAGATAGGAGTGAAAATGAACAGATGTTGCTGATTCCCTCATTCATTGTCAAAAAAAACTATTAAATAGTAAATGACTAAAGGTTAACACAGTGAATTTACAGTTTTCTTTAAAAACATCTCTTTGTTTTAATAAATTCATTTCAATTCCAGATGTTTTTAGTTCCTTTGCTATTTTGTTTTTGTGATCCCTAAGTCTATGAAACCCGTCACCACTCTCTGTGTCTGTAGATCCTGACAGGAGAGGACTGGAACATGGTGATGTACGATGGCATTGAGTCCCAGGGAGGTGTGAATGACAAAGGAATGGTCTTCTCTATCTTCTTTATTGTCCTCACACTCTTTGGCAACTGTATCCTCCATTTGCACTATTTTATACATATACTCAATTGCACAACATGCATTAATGTATCTGGTTCCTTTCTTGTATCTGCAACGCAACATCTCTCCTCCCTACGGTGCTCTTTCTGAGAAACTCTGAGCTTCCTCTCTACTTCTCCCAGCATCAGTGTTTCTCCCTAACTTCTACCACCACAGACACTCTGCTGAATGTCTTCTTGGCCATCGCTGTGGACAATCTGGCCAACGCCCAGGAGCTTACCAAGGTATAGGATCACTCCAGAAAAAGCAATTCAGCTTGTTGCTGTGAAGCTGCACAGATTTCTTTATATTTAGGATCAAATGCCTGTGTATAATTTAACATGTTTTGCTCACAGAGAACTAGCATGTTGTTCTTTAGATATTTTATCTAAAGGCTCTTATTGGTTTCATCTTCCAGCAGTAACAAAAAGGGACTTGCCAGCTTTGTGAGGCCATATAACATGTAAAAGTTGTGTTTTCAGCTTGTTGTTCCTGCCCCTAGGTAGCCAAAAGATTGACTGATATGACTTCAAATGCTTTTTTGTTTCGTGTTTTGTCTTCCTTTATAACGTGTAGATGCATTATTATCTATGCCAGAGCATTAACATTTAAATCAAGAACTTCTGCTCCAATAGGACGAGGAGGAACAAGAGGAGGCAGCCAATCAGAAGACAGCACTACAGAAGGCAAAAGAGGTGGCGGAGGTCAGCCCGCTGTCCGCTGCTAACTTGTCTATTGCTGCGTAAGTACACACATCTCCACATGATCAAACACTGCAGCATTCCTCGAAAATATGAGTAAATGCAACAAAACAATACAGACAATATGGACACAAACACAACCCTAAATACACAAACATGCACATGCTGGTGTATAAAAACCTTCACATCCATCTGCTACGTTAACACACACTTACAAAGGTCTATTTTACGTTCTTTTTTTTCCAGATAACTGCGTTACACACACACAGAACAGGCACAATCCGAGATGCGGTTTTTCAGGCAGAGCTGTCGTTCTGAACATTTCTGATTGGCGTGCATTCATGTACACACGATGCTCACACACAGACACACTACATCACGCTCTCCCTATTCTCGTCCTCTAAAACATGATTAAGCGATTGTTCTGAGAGTGAAAGGAACAGATTCTGGGCTTTGTGAAGTGAAGAAGAGCGAGAGGCGGACAGTCTGTAAAATCTGCTCCTGGCAGCAGAAACGCTGACAATAGGACACATCAAAAATGATGCTCGAATAAACCCGCTGCTCCTTTAGAAGTTATCGGAGTCTTCAGTCACTGTGGCGAGCTGAGCCTTTGACCGCTAGATTAGCAGCTGCTGGCTTTGTGATGTCGAAAGATAATTTCAGTCAGAAATGGAATCTAACTGCCACATTTTCAAGTAAGGGAAATTAGGTTTAGGTTTGTCCTGCGAGAATTCCTTTGGAACACAGTCATTTTACATTTTGTTTTTGCAGTATTGACATGTTTGAATGAAAAGAACTAAGACTGGATACTTAACAGCACTAGTTACCGTCACACATTAATCAGTTGATTCGACTGTGAAGTGATTCTCGAAGCCTTTCAGATGACGAGCTCTGGTAACACAGCATTGTGACACTTTTTCGGTCAAGAACTTGGAACTGCTTTGTTTGAGACCAGTGAGAGATCTGTTGGCATTTCTCATTCTTGCGTTTCTTTTTCGGACTCGCCATCGTCTGAAACCTTCTGAGACGCTGCTTCTTCTTGGGTCTTCACAGACTTTATACATAGTCAGGAGGTCACATGATGCTTTCCAGCTATTTACATTTTTTCAGAATGTACTTTTTTCATGGCAGCAAAACACAACACATGAGACAAGTTTTATGTCAGGTGAACTTGAACATATTTAATCAAGATGGACGGAAAGAAGGATGAGACTCCAACATGGGTTTCTCCTCCTGGCCAAGCCCACTCAACAGCCCTATTCCAATCTCCACACTCACGAACTGTGAGGCATGCTCTTACTAAGTATGTAAGGGCTCAGGACATTATTATGCAACCTTTCTGTGAGTCTACATGACTTGAGGAAGTAACCCATAGTTCATTGTGAAATTCATATGTATAAATGCTGTCCTGCCCCCACAAAATGTCCAGAAATCAAGAGTGGATGGTGTAGTTAAGAAATCTACTAAGAGGTCTGTTTGTAAGTGACAGCATCTGACAGCTTGCTGTTGTGGTTATTTATTGCGTGTTTGTCTTCCATTCAAATGGCCACATAAGATTTACAAATGTTCATGACTTTTCTGACTTTTTGTAGTTTTCTAAAACGTTTAAACACTGTGATGGTATGAACAAGAAGTGATCAACAAACTGAGCAGCTTACCAAACTGCGAATTTACTTTTTCTTTTAATGGCACTGATGTGTCCCATTCTTCCTTTTGATACCTTTGCAAGCTCTCATGATCTCATACACTCAGCACTTCATCTGAGATCAGTTAGGTCTGTGAGGGTTTACTGTGTATGTAGAGACTGAGATCGGGCTTTACACTGAAATGATAGATAAAGATGGCACAGATAAAAGTTAACGGTAAATGATCTACACTTATATAGCGCCTTTGTACCTTAGTGGTACTCAAAGCACTTTACAATGTGTTTCTCATTCACCCATTCACACACACATTCACGCAACAGTGGCGACAGAGCTGCCATTCAAGGTGCTGGCCTGCTGTCGGAAGCAACTTCGGTTTCAGTCTTGCCCAAGGACTCTTCCACGTGTGGAGGGGCAGGGGATCGAACCACCAACCTTTTGGTGGTTTAGTGGGCAAACACCTGAGCCACAGCCGCCTCCACGCTCAAAGATGAATAATAGAGAGTTTAATAAATGGCCTTGCATGCAGCAGGTGACGCTCTGTCAGCACCTTCGTAGTTGTCTCTTTTATTAAAGCGTTAAATGCTTTTCTTAGACAGTATCACAGGTATCCATTAGTATAAACTGGCAGCAAAGGTGGGTGACAGCAGCATAACCAGCTGTCCTTAAAAGTCTTTGATAGAATCAAACAACCCAAAATGTAACGCTCTTACGCTGACGAGATCGCTGTCTTACAACTAGCACCCAAAGAGAATACCAGCAATTATGTACATGTACATGTGCAGCATTGTCCTCAAATATAAAATGAATCCCACTTCACTGAACTTAATTTCTCAAAAACAAAAGACAACAAAAGCATTGTCCTGTACTCATATACTCTGCATGTTTTCTGCACTGCCAGTGAGACTACAACTCCAGGGATGCCATGTTCAACCACTCCGACAGTTCAGAGGGTTTTCATTCTTTGTCTTCAGGCTGGGATGTTGTTCATGCTTCATGCATCATTCACACTCTGTTACATGGTGTCACATTTAAATTGTTAATACTTCTATTACCACATTTGTTTTTATTCTTAATCATGCCAGAATTCTTGGTTTCTCTTTCAAGGGTGCACTGTAACTATTTTATTACTCCCTTGGGAATCTTGCAGCTTTGTCTGTTATGCCTTCTCTCCTTTTACTGTCTCACACACATTCGTCCTCTGCTCTTCCCTCTATATGACCCTCATATGTATTACAATATCCTTCTTTTCCTCATCATCTTCCCTCATTCTCTGCCTTCCTTTCCGTTCAGTCTTCCTATCTCTGCTCTTCTAAAAACTCCTCACTACCTTTTTTTCATCCTACCTTCCTCCACTAAAATGTCCTCTTCTCCTCCTACCTCTGCCAACAGTAAGGAGCAGCAGAAGAACCACACCAAGGGCAACAAGTCGGTGTGGGAGCAGAGAACAAGTGAGATACGCAGACAGAACCTGATGACGAGTCGCGAGGCGCTCTACAATGAGCTGGAGCAGGACGACTGGAAGGTGGGAGAAGGAGAAGAGGTGAGGAGTTCCCCCCCAAGAAAGACACACAAATATACACATATATGCAGTCTGCTCCTCATATATATGGTGACTATTTGTCATAAGGTGTCTAGAGTGATATCATTAGTTGCTGTAACTACCTAAAGGGATGTTGTCACCCATGTTCAGTCGCCTCAGGGCAAAAACAGTTCTTGTTCCCAGAGAATGAACAACTCTTGGATGACACTAGAAAAAAGATCAAAATTAAAAATAGATGTGACTGGACGCACATTGAGTATAAACATGTGTTCAGACTTTCTGTATCCAGTGGCATTTCAGAAGACCTAAGTACAAGGTCCCAAACATCAGTTCTTCAGGGAGACATTTTAATCATAAAAAGGACCTGGAGTTTTGTGTCTATTGTTCTCCAAGATTTGCAGAATTGCACTGCAGAAGAACTTTCTCTGGGTTTTTCTGAAAGATTTCACATTAAGCCGTAATCTTCAGATTATATTCATCTTAAAGTATAACATGCAGGATGAAAGATGAACTTCCACCTATTTGAGAGGGTGAACTTGATCCCCCATTAATGGTTGACAATGAAAAGAACTTCCTCTGTGACTCAGTAAGACTGTCATTGTTTGGTTTTTCTTTGATTTTCTATTATTAAAATTTCATATGTTTAAAACGGCTTGTCTGCCATCTTACCAGTGATTTGCTGGTTGTCCTGCAACTAAAAATTAGTAAGAAGTTATTTCTGACCTTCAGTGGTTTTAACTTCTCACACTGCTGCAGTGATGTAGAGGTCCACAGTATGAGGTGTCTGTACATCATGTTATCAGTGCTGGGTGTGGCTACAGGTACAGAGAAAACTACGAACCACACCTGACCACATTCATAAATAATTCTGTGTGAACAGCAATGAAACAGACTTGAAAATTTCAACTTTCTTTCATTTCAGCATTTCAGTCTGATGTTAAATTACTCTTTAATGATATTACATTTTGGCCCATCTGTATGTGATGTGTAGTGACAAGCAGTGGAACCACTGGACTAGCACAAGGGCCTGACCTGCTTTTTAACCACTGTGTATTCTGGGTCATGCTGTACTCCACAGATGTTTTAATTCCAGGGTGTAATATCCCTTTAAGCCTGTGAAAGAGTTTTATTATTGCGCTATCCGCTGCTATATGGGACGGCTTGAAGCTGCGTGCTTGGGAGCAATGCATTATTAAAGTGGGGCATGCAGAGAAATCCAGAGCTGTACCCAAAGAAGGCAGCAAACTCAAAACTGGAGCGGGCAAAGTGCAATGTACTTCAAAAACATGAATTCAAAAGATGACCAGGAGTCGAGTGGATGTTGTTTGGCAAACTGCATGTTTACTGCAGAGCTGTTTTGGCGGTTTGTGGCCCCGGAAAAAGACAATTTTTCAAAATGTTCGTGTGGAGCCAAAAATGTTGAACTGTTTGCCGAACTGTGTTTATCTGTGGCTCAGGGGAGGGAAAGGGGCAGGAGCTTGAGCAAGTGCTGCATATTCTGGGTTAATTCTGGGTTAACTGGTGTATGAAATAAAGAAAACTATCCTGGACTGCATATGATGTAAAAGCTTTGAAGTAAATTGCTATTGCAGCCACAAAAAAAAAAGAGAAAGAAATGCAATTGTTGTGCATTTTTCTGGGTTGTATGAGCATTTTCTTCTGAAAACTGCAACCCCAAAAGCTTCAGACCTGGATGACAATTTTTTTATTATTGTTGTAGTTTTACTGTAGAACAGCTATATGCTTTTTCTGACTTTTTTGTTTTTTACATTATGAACTGTTCCTGGACATGACAATTTCATTTCATTCAGTAGTATAGACTGTTTATGTTTTTAAAATGTACATATGGCAGTAAATGGTCCCTGAGAGCACAATTATTCCAAATGGTAAATTGTTCACAAGTAAATTAAAAACTGTGGTTCCATTTCATAGGAAACTGTGTGGATGCAAAGATGCTGCATCATTTTCTACCAGTTTAAAAAAGAGTTGGCTAAGATATTTTGTTAACAAACTTGTCCAAGATAGTGTTGTATTGTGAATGACTGATCGTTCACTGAAGATATTTCCTCAAAATTTAAAGGTATCCTGGACTTAAAGGATAATTTCACCCAAACAACAATCAGACATTTGCCATTGTTTGTTCTATGTACTTATTTTGAAATTATCAGCGTCTGAGATTTCTGCTTCTACTCCAAGACAGTGGAGGTCAATTACTTTTTATTTGTGCAGGTCAGAAAATTTAAATACTCTATTATTAAAAATCATAAGCAGCATCTTTCCATAAACATTGTCATGATTATGCAGAAGTATTTTGATAATGCTACTGATACTTTAAGTAAAAATTATTATAGAGAAGGAGAAAGAAGTAGAGAAGCATATGAATGCTAGCAACAGAAGTTTTAGGAGCAATTATCTCAACGTCTGGTCATACACAATTACTCTTCATGTGTAGCTGCCTTTAGGAGTACGTTTTGAAGATGCATCTGAGGTTTTAACACCACTCACAAGTCAGATCTGCTCCCCTTTTACCTTGACTCAGGTGGCCTACCCAAGAAAAGGACGAGGTGATATGAAAACCCACCTGGATCGTCCCCTGGTGGTGAACCCGCAGGACAACCGCAACAACAACACCAACAAGACCCAACCTGGTGAGCTGCCTCTGGATCAGGAATACCAGCGTCAAGACATAGACCACTGCCGTCGCGCCGCCCACTACTATCACTACCACCGCCATCATCATCAGAAAGCCATTGGGCCAGACAGCGGAGAGACGGGTCAACTGGCGGAGACCCGCATGGAGCACGGCTTCAGCTGCACATCTCTGGGCAACATTGAGGGCAATGTGGAGGGCCATCAGGGGGAAGAGAGGCACAGCCACAGGAGCCATCGAGGCCATCGGCACAGAAACAGGGAAGGCAGGGAGGCTCGCAGCGTTTCTCCCCACCACAGCGAGGGGGTAGAGGGGAACAACGAGCACAGGAGGTCCAGACAGCATCGCAGGGCGGCAAGGGAGGGGGAGGAGGGCCGACGACACAGATCCAGGGGGACGGAGGGCGAGGTGGAAAAAGGCGAGGAAGGTGAGGGGAGAAAGACAAGACGACATCGCCATGGCAACCAGGAAAGAAGCAGAGGGCATCGCACGAGAAAGTGAGTGAAAGAAGCATTTTTTTTTTTTCTCTCCATGTATTAGTCTCAAATTACAGCCTGACAAGCATTAATAGTGGTGTAGTTTATCTAAGACAGGAGGCCACCTGACTTCCAGGCTAGTTATTTTGTAAGAATGTGACGACTGTGTGGCTTCTTGTAGCTTGCTCCACATTTGCAGCACTTAAACTTCAGTCAGACTACAACATTTTTATCTCATGAGATAGTCACTACAAATTTTGTGTCAAATTAGGTGATCATGGTTTCTTAAGCAACTGCAGTGACTTTCCCCGTAGACATGTCAGGCAAATTGGTGAACCCCAACCATTCACAACTTCAAATCTGCATGATCTGTAAAGATCAGAGAGGAAGGGCAAAAGTTTTGACGTGGACTGTCAACAGTCAGGACATCTACATGGACAAGGAGCATTTCATTAATGCTGTCAAAACAAACCAGAGACTGCAACAAATTTCTGAAGTGCTGCTTCTCTGTTTTTTTCATACATTGATGTTGGCATATTTCTGTGAAACTGCTGATTGTTTTGTCAAATAAAAGGTGTAAAAAATCTATTTAATTTCCCTAATATTGTTTTAGGTGAGCTATAAAGTACAAACCTGTATGTCTAATTAATAGCTTAACAGTGTGTTTTGTGTGTTGTTGGCACTAATAGTACTGGAGACAGTAGTCATAAAATAAGGTATTATTATGTCTGGTGTGTCTAATGAGGCATTCCTACCATCACCTTTCAGTGCTCATTTCTTGTTTCAAATCTCTTTTTTTCCTTCTTCCCCTGATTACTCATTTCTTTCTCTCCCTTCCACCCCTTTTCTTTTAGCAGGGAGCACCACAGCACCGGCCCCAGCCTCTCCACCACACGGCCCATACAGCAGTATAACGAGGACCTGGACAACTTCCGCAACAACAGCAAACTGGCCAATGCCCACGAGCATCCTTACGCTCTCCCACCAGATCACCCTGACCATCCCGACCACGTTAACAACCTGCTGAACTGTCGTGACGCTGACACCCACACCCTGCTTCACAGCATGGACAGCCTCATCCTGACTAGCATGGCCAAACCCGAGTACACAACCATAGACATGCCCCCTGTCTACCCCTACCCCTCGACCAATGCCATCCTACAAGGTGAGCAACTCAGGGACCCTGTCACTTGCATAAATGTCATATAAATACAGAGTAAACTGTACTGGAGACTTCCCAAGAAGACCATAAAGTTAAGGGTGTTTTAAAGACAGGTTTTAAGCAGTTGTTAAAATCAATGCAGCAGGGGCCAAGATATTCTGATTTGTACTGCCTTGTATAGATCAAGCTCCAAAACCATCAGCTACTCCAGTTTCTGTAGTGTTTCTCTGTAGCGCTCTTCATTAGACCCTCACTGTCTCATCAATGTCCACATCTTTCCAGACTTCATACCCACAGTTTGTAACACAGGTTGTCGACAAGAAAAAGCAAAGATACAAAGGAAATGTCACTTGAATAATTTTCCCACTTCACATCTGGAGAACACTTTGTACACACTGAGTAGTACACACTGAGTATTCTCAATGAATAGTAAATTAGATTTGACATTTGAAATTGATGGTATAAGGAAATATAGCTGTAGTGCACAACACTGATGTAACTCCAGTCTCATTCACTTCTGTTCAGTGAAACAACGCTGGCGGACATCTTTCATGTGTTTACTGTCCTGCTCTGGTGAAGCTGACCTCTTTCTGTCTGTCTGTCTCCGTTTTCTTTCTTTGTTTCGCTCAGTGAACAAGAACGCCAACACCGACCAGAAGAAGAGCGAGGAGAAGAAGGAGGAGGAGGACGAGGGTGGAGATGAAGACGGCCCCAAACCCATGCCTCCCTATAGCTCCTGCTTCATAATGTCGACCACCAACCCGTGAGTATACGTGTCTCTGTAAAGTCGGACTGGAAAACATGGTACTGCGTCGTTATTGGGGGCATAGAAAAGTTATTTAATAGCAAAGTTTTTCTCCCCAGGCAAAGAAATATTGAGTGTGTTTTGTGTTTTTGTGTCAACATGTGCATGTGTCTGTGTGTGTGTGCACCAGGTTTCGGAAGTGCTGTCACTACATCCTGACTCTGAAGTATTTTGAGTTCAGCATCCTGTCTGTCATCGCTATGAGCAGCATCGCCCTCGCTGCAGAGGACCCTGTCTGGCCTGACTCACCGCAAAACAATGTGAGACATTACTGTGTGTGTGTGTGTGTGTGTTTTTCTTTTTAATAACAGGATCGTAAATGGAATCATTTTGTAGTTTTTAGGCTACATGGTGGGGAATGTTTGAAATCAACCGTTTCAGCGAAAGCTCTGAAAAACTTTGCAAGGACTGCAAATGTTTTAGGAAGATGAGCAGATGATGCTTTCAACTGATGTCCACACTCAGGTCCTCAGCATAGCATGGGAATGTTTTCAGAAATGAACAGAATTCTCCCACCTACTGTTTTTATTGGCATGAAACTTTTCATGGATTCAAGCTGCAGTGTGGAGTTTTTTATTTTTTTTAAATCTTTAATCCATGCTGGCCAATGTTGCTCACTCTAACTGATACCTAGTTTTCTTAATTATTCCAACATAACCAGAAACACTCACATGCGACAGCTACCAGTGATCACAAGACAGATATTTATTATCTTGAACACTTGATGTGTTATTGCTTCAAATCAGGATGTAAAGGTGAACATAACGGGTCATTTTAAGGTGCATAAGAATATTGAGGAAGAGACATTTTTGAAATAGTGAATGAACTCAATTACAACAAACGTATGATGAAATGGCATTTTGAAAACAGACAGTGAAAATAGGATTAAGATTGAATCAGGATTAGGCTAGTGTCTGATTGTTTCTCTGTTTCTGTTTTTATTCATCTCTCCTGCTACGTTTCTCTCATGTTTTTCCCTCTGACTCGTCTCTGCTTCTCTTTCTTATTCTGTCTAATATGATAATTATATCTCATGGTGTTGTGTTGCTCTGCAGGTGCTGCGTTATTTTGACTACGTTTTCACAGGCGTCTTCACATTTGAAATGTTGATCAAGGTAACAAAGTATCACTGTGTCAGTGTGTGCGAATGTTTTTGTTTGTTTTTTTCCTTTATTTTTGTGTGATTGTTTATTGTGTCTTTTGTGTACGTATTTGTTTTAGTGCGTATTTTCTGTATCTGTTCGTGTCAGTGTGTGAGTGTGTTTGCTCTGTGTGTCTGTGCCCTTCGCTGACTTGTGTACGAGTGTGTTCCTCAGTTACTGTGTGTGTCTGTATGCGGTACTGAGCACGTTCCATGTCTTCCAGATGGTGGTGCTGGGCTTGTTTCTCCACCAGGGCTCCTACTTCCGCGACTTGTGGAACATTCTGGACTTTATAGTGGTTAGTGGTGCTCTGGTGGCCTTCGCCTTCACGTAAGTGCCCCCTCCACCCTCCTCTTCATCATCTTCACTACCTAAACACACACATTCCACCATCCACAGAAAGACCCTCGTCGCACAGCCCTGTAGGTCCGACACAACAGGCAATGCTGATCTTTCTCTCCTATTGTCTCAGCCTGCTGAACTTCAGAAAGAATCACCTCCTGTTGTTGCATTTCTACGATCTACTCTTTGTATCTTTCTTTCTCTGTCCCCGTTTCTCTTTCAAATCTGTCTTTTTCTCTGCCTCCTTTATGTCTCTAAACTTTCCTTTTTCTTCTTAAATGTCTTACTCCTTGCTCCCCTTTGTTCTTTTCTACTTTCCTTTTCACTTTTCTAGTCTTGTCTTCTTCTCTTCTTTGTTTACTATCAGTCTTTCACCTCTCTTTTGTCCTTAAACCCTCTTTCCTTCAGTCATTGTCTTTTTCCATTCTGCAGTTTACCCTGTCTGCATTTTCATCTCTATTTCCACATTGGTCCATCACATGTGGCATCATATCAGCAGGTCTTTCTCTACGTTTCATCACCACCTTCATCTCAACAACCACCCGAGATCCTTAACTGAAATCTATCCCTGATATGCCTCACCTGAAAGATCCCCACCATCTTTTACCTACACTCTAAAAAGTGAAGGAGCCTCAAGACATTTTGCTTTTTCTTTATATGGCATTCTTTGGGAACCCTAAGGGGATAACCTGCAGACCAATTTGGAACCATTGCTTCCACAAAACTTTATTATTGTGTAATCCTTCACCAGTGAGGAGTGAGTTTTTAGAGTGTAGTTGCTCTGTCTTCACCCACCATCCATCCTCCATGAACCTCAAACCTTGCCTGAAATAGTCGTCTTCACAACTGTCCCAAACATCATTCCCCTTAACTGTCTAATCAACTATAAAGCATCTGCTCCTAGTCAACATTTTCTCCTCCCAATCTTCCTTGCTCCTCTTCCCTTGTTTTCCCTATTTGCCAATCCATGCCGCTCTGATTTCCACCAACCAGGCCGTGAGTCATCCCTTCCTCTTTTCTTGCATCTAAAGCCCCGACTTTGATCCCTCAAACCCTTGCTTAACAACACACACCCCCAGGTCCTCCACAGCCTTGGTCCCTGCTGATGCCTCCTCCTCCTACCAGATACCTTTCGATTCCCTCTCTCATAAGAGCTCCTCCTCTCCGTCCTCACATTTTCACAGTCTCAGCCCCCTTACACCTCTCCTATTCCTAACATACAGCAAAGACAATCACCAAACAAAGGAGTATTGTATTGCTTTTAGCTATCTCAATTTACCAAACTTAAGCACAAAAAAGTCCCTTGTCTCAACAAGTATTGGATGGATGGCATACGAGTAATACTTCAGACATTTTCCTCACAGCAACAAACGTTTTGGGTGTGGTGCTACAGGAAAAGTCAAATCACCAAAGCAACCAGGATTCATCCTTTCCTTCAGATTATGAATGACTTTGAGATGTTTTAGTCTGGACCACAGAGGTATACCTTACCACTGCTAGCATGGCTAAAAATGTGCTACAAAACAGTCTCCTCTTCAAAGGAAAATAGCGGCAGATATTTGTACTTCACTCTTCACAGTGCAGTAAAAGGTCATATAGAGGACACAGTTAGGAATCACGTTATAGAGATAAACTTATCACAAATTTGCATTTAAGTGAGCATTCTTTGCTTCCATCTTGTTTTTCATGCTGGGACATTGTTCCTAGCTGGGAATACAACAAAGAACTTGAAGAGGTTTAAGACAAAACTTGTTTATTTCTTTTCTTTTAGCAAGTTAAACATACAAGGTTTTTTTTTTTTTTTTTAAAAAGAGAGAGAGTAATGGCTCTCACCACATTGCAGCCAATATCAAATTGAAAGATTGTTGAACATTCTTGCTTTGAATGTGTGTGCTGTATGTTAGGAAGTGTCACCCATTACTCCCTAACTTGCTGTTATCTCCCCCCCTTACCTGCGTATAACCCTACAGTTTGTAATAAATCCCTCTGACTCCAGATTCCACCCAACACACCTTTCAACCTCCCACTCTCCAACAACCATTAAAGCCAGCATCCTGCCTCCTACCTAACCACCCCTCAGCCTCCTCATTCTCCCCCATCCTCCTGGCTGGAGGTCCTGATCGATCAGTCCGTGGGGGTGAGGGCGCCCCAGACACCTTTAACCCTTTAAGTGCCCAGGCTATTCATCCGCCACAGGGAGGAACACCGGCAGGACTCATCACCTCGCCCCCCCTCTTCCCTCTTTTCTACCAGCACACACTCAAACACATACACACATACCCATCCGCCGTTCTGACTATGTTAACGAACCCGGAGGCACAGGTATTTAACTCTCCTTCCTCTGCACGACCCAGGGAAGTACGTGGGAGGGAAAGAGGGAGGCATGCTGGGGCAGGGTGTGGTAGGTGGAATGATTTGTTATTATACTGAAGCAGCATAAAGGATGAATACATATGAATTAAATATGTATGATAGATGCACCTGAGAGGGACTGACTGTGTGTTTGTGTTTGGGGCAGGGTGGGGTAAAAAACAGAGAAGTGAGTGAGGGAGAAAGAAGAGCTTGTTTGTGCATCCTCCTCAGCTCTCTGGATGTCCAGTGCATGTCTGCCGTGTTGGCTGCATGAACCTGTGATGCAGTAGACGGCATCACTTAGAACTCTGTAAATGATGCTCGGAGTCAGTTCCTGACAAAGAACAAACTCCAGTTATATATGTTCTTCCTAATACAGAGTGTTCAGATTGAATGCAAAGCAAATTTTAGACGTGGCAGCGCTGTATAAAAAGTTGAAAATGAAAATACTTGAGTGTCAAAAGAGATGCACATTTGCATAAGGTGGCATGACTGAAGTCAAGATGTGAAATAGTTTTCATTGTCAACACATTTCATGCAACAATGTGTTGGTCCATCTCTTCATTCTCTCAGCCCTGAGCCCATTCGTTTTGTAGTGAAGACGTACATTTTTAAAACTGTCACAATGTATAGTTTCATTTTTAAAAACTAAGCAATTTTCTAAAACAAGCAGGTAGCTGTAGTTTTTGATAAACTTAACTCGGCGGTAAACAGTGCATTAGTGCAGACAATGTTTTTACTGCAAATGAATGCACCTTTGGTTTGCAAGGGAGCTTTTACAACAGCAGCGTGGTATAGGTGGGATATACTCTTAGCCACAATGCAGCTAACATCTGCGTAGTAGTGCAATGCCCACTGCTGCTGTGATGTCATGCTGGTCACTGACCAACCCAATTCACTACATTTTTAATATATGTATTTTCACAATGTCAAACATCTCGGCTCAATCCCATGCCACCTATTGCCACATCATGAACCTCAACGAGGACACATTTCACATTGTGCCACGACCAGTGGCACTTTGCATTCAGTCTGAACACCATTTCTGTTAATATTACTAATAAGAAGTAAACTGTTAAAGTTCTGTAATAAATGTCACCGTCAAGATGCATTCACACTGACAGAAATGTCAGCCAGTGTTAACTATTGTTTGCTTGTTTTCTTAATCGTTGGATAACCTGTCTGCAGCTTAAACATGCGCTAACGTTAGTGTGTGTCCTACGTGAAAATGAGCAAACTCACACAAAGCATTGGTTAATGTAACAGTAAATTGGTTGATTAAAGGGAAATCGAGCAAATTGAGGAGGGAACAAGTTGGGGAAGGTGCACATACAAGTTTTTGACAGCCCAGCATATGACAGGTTGTATGAATTTGTCTTTGTGTATGTTACTTTTTTTTTTTTTTTTAATTAAGATATGTTGAATTTAAGGAGCACTACACATACCAGAAATTAGGATATTCTGAATTAATGCTCATAGATTTTGACTCATAACAAGCAAACAATAAGAAATTGTGCCTTTTACACATACTTCAATATAAATTAATAGATTTCTGGGGATTTAGCAAGTTCTGAAGTTGAAATGACAAAAGCACACAGGTTCCAGTAAACATAAACAATGATGCAGAACCAATTCTGATTTCAGAAACATAAATATGCAGTAAAATATGACAACGTTCAGTATCAAGAAAAGACAAGGAGCAAGATGAACTTGTAAAATTGTATTATGCAAAGTTGAAAATCTTTCCACTGCTGCACCCTCCACAACATGACTCGCCGCTGAAAAGAGGATGCCTCCTCCCCTCCTTTGCAGATCCTCTTTCTTCCTCCTTTCACTTTCTTTGCCGCTCTCTCCTCCTCTCCCTTGCCCTTTCACTTTTTTAATCACACTCTCCGTTCCCTTTTAGGATGCTCTCACACCATTGCCCCCCACCTTCGCCTCTTCTCTCCACTCTTTGTCCCTCTTTGCAGTCTCCTCCTTTGCCTCCCCGCTCCCACCATCTGCGCCAGGGCTGAGCTACAGTACAGTTTTGCTTAAGGGGCGAAGGCGTCACACACACACACACTAATGAAATTTCACTTTGACGCATGACATTGTTTAAAAGCAGGTACATCACAGAACCATTGTACGGAGGATTTTTTAGCATGGTCACAGTACAATGGCTTCATGTTTTTATGGGTTTTAAACACAACAGTTGCGCTTCTGGCACCCTTCATTCTCCAAATAAATGCTGAATGATACAGTGTCATGACCGAGAACTGCATGCAGTCGCAGTACTCTGTGAGAATGCCTTTTCTTTCTATTAACGGTGTGCGTGTATGGGACAATACACACAAATCCTGGTTTCTTGAGTCTTCACTCATGACCGATAACCTGAGTGGTATGCCTATGTACATATGAACATGTCAAGAAAACCTGGAACCGGCCACTTTAGATGTAACGCCTTTTTCCTTCCCCTGTGCAGATGTGCATGCTAAAGAGCTTTGATAAAATCCCACTAGATGATTGCAGATCTAATGAGGGCAATTTGTGCTGTAGGCCTGGTCTAATTGATCATTATGGTGTGATAAGATAAGAATCGGTGTAAATGGATGCAGCAATTGAGTTTCCTCGTCCAACCGTGAAGGTAATTCTTCATAGAGCTGGTAACGCAGCAAAAAGACAGCCAGGAGGGAAGGAAGGTTTGTATATCTAGAGTCTCAGCAAGGGGCCACTGTCACAAAAGTGCTCTTATTGTACTGTAAATCTCAACAAGGTACCTGAGAGTTAACTAGATCTGATGGAGTAAAAAAGTGCATCCTTGAGTGCTATAATGCAGAGAGGAGGAATGAGGTTTAACACTCATTACATTAGATAATATTATATTTTACATGATTTACCTCACAGATATTCCTTCAGATTAAATATAGAAGTATTACATCTTACAGAATAAATCCCCCAGGTACCTCTTTATTTAAGAAATTCCTCTATCAAATGAGCAACTCTGACCTTATTTAGCACTCTATTTGCTAACAGAATAACCAATGTAAAGCTATGCTGGAGACAAACAGTGGAGGCTTAGTTACAAACAGCTAAAATGTTTAAAATAGACGAGTGTATCAATATACTGCTAAAGTTAAAACAAAATGTGATGCAACCAGACAGTAATCATGCATGGAATATGGAGTGAACCTAATTGAAACAAGTGACCACAGTTGTGATTGGATTCATGCTGTTTGACAATCTTCCGGTCCTGTAAAGCCAATAAAATCTTAATCAGTTGATACAGATTTTTTTTGAAGTGGAAAATAGGGAGAAATCAATTTAATGGTGTTGCAGGATATTAACATAATTGAACTAAATCATCTTTAGTGCTGCCATGTACAATGAGAAGGAGGTAGTGGGATATCTGCTATGCCAGGACTCAATAGGAGTTTATAGGACTCACCTTATCCAGCAGCAAATCTAGAAGACAGATATCCCATTCAGTCGTCATGGAGATTAGAGATGGGTGTGGGAGGGAGTGATAAGTGTGTGTGCTTATGGGTGGGTGGGCTGTATTTCTAATCAGGTGTGCCCATCTTGCTGTCCCTCCTTCTTTGTCTGTCTCTCATATAGATGTGTTTTTTCCTGTTTCTACCAAACCCCCTCTCTCTTGTCTTGTGTCTGTCTGTGTCGGTCTCTCTTTCTGTCAATGTGTGTCTGTGTGTGTGTCTGTCTTTCGATGTGTTTTCCCTCTTTTCCCTACCTCCTCCTCCTCCTCCTCCTCCTCCTCCTCTTCTTTATCTGTCTCTGTCTTCCTTTCTGTCGCTGTCACTGACTCTCGCTGTCTCCACCTTCGCTGAAACTCGACAGGAGCAGCACCCGGTAAAGTTCTTCCTCTGTCCTCCTCCATTCTGTCCCCTGCTCTCCACCACCGGATCAAATTGGCTTCTCTCTCTTTCTTTCTTTGTTCTTCTAAACGTTCGTACTCATTCTCGCCGTATCGTTGCCTCTTGTTTCGCCAACACCGTACCCACAAACACTAGGAAACACTTTGGAAGGGCTTGATCTATTGTCCACGTTTTTATAAGTCTAATTCGTTGTTTAGCTAATTAACTAGTTAACATTTCAACAACACGTTTTCTCAGATAAATTAGCCTCAAAGTGATACTCCACCCACAGTCTGTCTTTTGGTAATCAGTCGTACCGTAGGCTTGAAAGGATGGTATAAAAATGTTTAGTTTTGTCCTTCATGGATGTTGTGGCTGTGAAAAGCTTAAATTCCAGCCGTATTTCCTAGAAATTATTTCTGTATAATAAGGTTAGGGTTAGAAACATAAATGTGACAGGATGACTGAATGAGGTAATGCTCTTAATTTGCAAAAAGCAAATTTCAGTCATATGTTACCTGACTGCATAGTTTTTCTACCACCTACAACAACTACAGCATTACTCATATTTTTTGAATATGTTTAGACAATGAGAGCATATTGTTAAGGTTGGGCAAAGATTGTGGTGTGGTTTAATGCTAATAAAGTCCTCAAAGACTTGTGACACATTGATTTACATTTAATCAGAACTACAGTCTTTCCCAAACCTCCGCTTAAACCTAACAGTGGTTTAAGGTTTTTCTCTGGCGTGAGTCAAGTGCTTTGTATGCCTGCTATCCAGGCATTATATTCTGATAATGACTTTTGCTACATGAATATGGCATACAGCAGAAATGAGCCCTTCTGCAAAATCAGATATGTTTTAACAATACCTTTGTGTGCTGCCCCGAGTAAATATATGAAAGTAAATATGCTCATATGCGCAGAAGTACTGAGACAGATGTGCATTTTGCCATATTTCAGTATAACAGTATTGTATGAGAATACTATGACATGCTGAGATGAACAGCAGAAGGTATTATAGTGTGCTGCAAGAGGAACTTTCTGCTAAAGCCTCTACTGTAAACTTGAATCCAAGCATTCAGCACCTGCTGTGCTTCATGAAGAACAAGATTATATTTTACAATCACCTTTGAGTCCTACAGTTCTGGAGAGCTTCAATTCTGAAAACACAGATTTTGCGTGGAGTACCACCTGAATTAGCGTTTTACAAAACCCCAGTTCAGTTAAACATCTTTTTAGACACAATGATAACTGTCGTTCTATTCATACGTCAGTCACGAGACTCAAAGTTCTGTTGCCCTTATCATTATGCTAGTGAGGCCGTTTGCACGCGTGAGATGTTGTGCGTGTGTGTATCTGTAGGGATGTTGATAACTCCTAACACCTATGGCCTTACTGGGCTTTACTCTAATGCTCTAAAGCTGCTCTGATAGAGAGACCTCAGTCGTACTCAGCTTCAAAGGAGGAATGCCTATTGATTATCGATTGAGTCTCGCTCTCGCGCGCACACACAAAACCCCACATGCAGACACGTAGAACTGCCAAGGCTGCGACTCAATCAATCAGCATTGAATTGAATTGTCTTACGTTTTCTGTCACAGGAACTGAGTTCATAGTTAAAGAGCGAGCCTTGATGGACGACCTCTCTTCTGCTCAGGCTTGGCAGGTGTCCAGGTGCCTCCTGCCCTGCTTTTTTCAAAGTGGCACATCCACTTACTGTTAAGATCAACTCGGCTGTTTACTCTCTTGACACCCCAATTCTTCCTCTCTGATATTGGTGTATGGGCGTACAAATCATGAGCAGAATGTTCAGTTATGGCCTTCAGGGAGAAAACAAGCGCTTTAAAACACAACTGAAGACGTTTGTCTTCTGAGCCTAAACGATTTCCTCCGGTCGCTCTCATGGCTCGTTTGATACTGTTGGTGTTTGTTTGTGTTACGACATGTGATGTTGTGTTCTGTCAGTGGCATCACATGACCGAAGCGTCTCGCATAGCCTCCGTCCTGACCGAAGAGCAATCAAAAACGCGAGTTTGAAAATCTGGATTTTAATGAAAGGAAGCTATGTGAAACATATCAAAATCAGTCCATTTAATGTTAGCAAATTCAGGATTATATCAACATAATCCTAGCTATGTAACACCTAAAGTCCATGTTGCCACATCTAACACATCCATTTCTTCCGAAGAACTGAACAGCGTATCACTGAAAAAGAAAGAAAGAGGTTTGGCTGGGCACTCTGCCGGGAGATGCCTGTCGATATGGAATGAGTGAATGTCTATTGAATGTTAGTGACGATTACTATGACTGATGACAATGCTTTTTGATGTCCATGAAACCAAATGGTCAGACAACTGATCGCATTCTCTCCCACCGGTTTCATGTTTGACGTACACTTCAAAGTTTCTTGTCTGCAGAAGAATAGACTGTAAGAGTCTGTAAGATTGTCCACACAATTGCAATGTACTTTTTTTTATACAAGTATCACATGTGTTGCTTTCACTTAAAGTCACACCACAGATGTTATGTTTAAGATAATTTATCTATGAGGAAATATCCCTCACCCCTTTTTGCAATATGTTGAACAATAGCAAAAGGTTTTGGTAACAGCCCTTTGCGATTGTTTCATCTCTTTATTTGTCCACTGTGCTCTCTGATTTTTCTTTGACACTGTTTTTGTTCCTTGGCTGAACTCTAGGGGGAGCAGCAAAGGCAAAGACATCAGTACAATCAAATCTCTGCGTGTGCTGAGGGTGCTGCGTCCTCTTAAGACCATCAAACGTCTCCCCAAGTTAAAGGTAGAGCTCAGCAGGTTCTTCTTCTTCATCCCAGTTCAAGGGCTGCACACATGAAGTTTAGTTCTCTAGAATATCAGGTGAACAAGGCCTGTCTTCTTTCAAAGGCTTAAAAGTGACGGAGAAATAAAGCCTTGCTATGTGAGAATTTGGAGGACACAATAGTATCCTTTGCAGCTCCTACTTAATCACAATTCATTGAATTCCTGAAAAGATGCAGCTCCTCTGTGTTTCAAGCACATGCTCTCTTCAGTTCATGACTTTTGCCACCACATTTATTTCTTAGAATGACATTATACTCACCAAATATTTCTTGGAATTCTCAAATATGGCAACATTGCTGAAAATAGGTTGCAACAGTTAACAGCTAAAAACACCAACTGTCAGGAGATTTTACGTGTTGTAAACAAAACTCAAAATGTATTTGGATATTGTAACCTACAGCAGTTCTTAACATTTTCCCTCCAGACAAGATCCTTTGCCTGCAGCTTTGTTTAACAGTATTCTGCTGATGTTTGCCAGAAGGACACTTAGCAAGTTAGAGCAAAGTGGCCTAACTTGGTACCCAAAAGAGTAGCTTTTCCCTTTCAAGGGGTACCATTTTTATCATGTACATTAATAGATTTTAAAACTCATCATCAGCACTGAGAGTTGAGTATTTTGTAACACTGTTATGAAGTCAGATGTTGCCACACTGTTGCCGTCACTACGCAACATACTACACGAGTCAGTAAATGTTCCTGTGTTTGCTTTGCAGGCTGTCTTTGACTGCGTGGTCAACTCACTGAAGAATGTGCTGAACATCTTGATCGTCTACATGCTCTTCATGTTCATCTTCGCCGTGGTGGCTGTGCAGCTTTTCAAGGGTCGCTTCTTCTACTGCACGGACGAATCCAAAGAGTTTGAGCGTGATTGCAGGTTGGTTCCAGAACACTTTGATTGTTAGTTTTTGTGTTTAGTGGAGGACTGTCTTTTGAGCCCAGTGCTAATTTATTACCATACATGGACATGTATTTGAGAAAACACAATGATGTGTTGTCTTAAAAATTAATCTGTGAATTTGAACTTTTGTAAATGACAAAAGAGGTCCTGTAATCCGTTGGTTAGTTGAGTCGGGTTTTTGTGGATGCTGCCACCTAGAGGAGTGTGCTGGGAATTTTCATAATGTTACTTCGTGAAACAGGCAACCATGAGGAGTGAACCACTCCTCCCCCTAAGTTCTCCCTATGTCCAATGAAAATGCATTTAGAAATGTACTCTAGGATGTGTTGTGCTTTTCCGCATTTCCATTTCTAGGTGTTTTTACGGACGGATATTTGTCTTGTGTTTTCATTATAAAACCTGTGTGTATGTGTTTTCCTTCAGGGGCGAGTATTTAGTATATGATAGAGATGAAGTTAAAGCTCAGAAGCGGGAGTGGAAGAAGTACGATTTCCACTACGACAACGTGGCTTGGGCCTTGCTCACCCTCTTCACTGTATCCACTGGAGAGGGGTGGCCGCAGTGAGTGGATTGCACACACACACACACGCACACACACACACACACATGCACACACTCAAACATGACGCTAAACTATTTATTAATCCAATCAAAGGTCCTGCTCAGAATTTGTCACTACTGGGGCTACATAAATGCATGTAGCAAAATATTTGAAAACATAAGAGCTGGACAGAGATGAAGGTGGTTGCAATAAATAAATATAATTAAGAATTTCATATATGTGATACTACAATAAACAACCTTTGGATTGCTATAGCACCATAGTATATTTACTTTACAGGCGCAGGGTTTTCAGTTCTTATTTCAATTTAGCATTTTTGTCTTACAATCCCATTATTTCTTAATAATATAGAGTAAACATAATGTTGAAATGATATTATTATTATTATGCATTATTCATATTATTAATATAAAACATATTGTTCATATGCATATGTGACTTTTACACAAATTCAAAGATATCTGTAGAAATAAAGCATTACAATTGTGGTGGACAAAAAACTATTTCATTTTAATCACCTTTTTGTCCCATCTGTTCATTTTTCAGGGTGTTAAAGCACTCAGTGGACTCCACATATGAGAATCAGGGCCCGAGCCCGGGATACAGGATGGAAATGTCCATCTTTTACGTGGTGTACTTCGTTGTCTTCCCCTTCTTCTTCGTAAACATCTTTGTGGCTCTCATCATCATCACCTTCCAGGAACAGGGGGATAAGATGATGGAGGATTATAGCTTAGAAAAGAATGAGGTAAGGAGAGATTTGGGAAGCTCTGTGAATTAGTAGATTAATTGCTTTTTTTTCCTCAAAAAACTTTTTAAAGAGTTAAAAGCCACTCCTCTTCTCTCTTCCTCCAGAGAGCCTGTATAGATTTTGCCATCAATGCCAGACCTCTGACTCGCCACATGCCGAAGAATAAACTTAGCTTCCAGTATCGCATGTGGCAGTTCGTGGTGTCTCCGCCCTTCGAGTACAGCATCATGGCTCTAATCGCGCTCAACACCATCGTCCTCATGATGAAGGTAGAGGTCGAGTTCTCAGTATGAAGAAGTCTTTTCCTAACTGGTTGTGATGTTCTCTCATCCTCGCTATGTTTGAGCCATAAGATTATGTACAACTCTGCACACATTGTACATTGCGGCAAAACAGACGTATTCCAGTTAAAATGTAATCGTAGAAAACGCACCACCACAGTCATTATAACACTCCTGATTAACAGAGATAATTTATACTAGTTCATTTTATGAACCACAACTTACTCTTGTGACTGATCGTCCTGATGTTTGAGCTTCAGTAAACTAATTGTATGTGACCTTGTGAGACTAAACTGAGCACACACTAAGTTTGTTAGTAGCTGCTGAACTGTAGGGAGCATTAAGCAAAGTAAAACGGCAACAAAAGGAGATTGACCATTAGCCATCAGCTTCACTTGAGTATCTTATGCTTCTTGTGGACTTCTGACTAAAGAACAAGTGAATACAAATTCATTTTAAAAGGTAATGTCCAACTTTAAAACTAGAGACCATTGTTCCAAGTATATTCTCATTTTTTAAATATCGTCACCTCCAATGCATTTCCTGTAAATATTAATAATTCATTCATTATTTAATTAATAATTGTAGTGGTTTAATTACGATCACAGAGTAACCATTCTTAATTGCGTCATAACAAAGTGACAGTGGCACGGCAAGAAAGACGTTTTCTTTCACGAGTTGTCGGGATGCATTTTGTATTAAAGATGTCTTTAGTTCTGGCAGAATGCATTTTGGTTTCATTGCAATAGATAAAAATCAGAACTGTATTAATACGACGCCAAACGATTCAGCTCTGATACAGGTCCTTCCAATAACTTAGGTAGCTACTGAGTCAAAACACTGCACTGAAGACACGTTTTCTTTTGTATTCACTTTCATTCCTCTCTCTTTCTGTCTATCTTTGTTTTGTGCCTCCAGTTTGACGGTGCATCAAAAACCTACGATGATGTCCTGAAAAACCTCAACATCGTGTTTACCACCTTCTTCTTTATGGAATCAGTCCTCAAGATCATTGCTTTTGGCCCTCTGGTGAGACTTTAAAAAATGCAAACATGAAGCACCTACAGGAGCACATAAACACACATATTCTTTATCTAGGTTGACCCAGTCTATATGCTCCAGTGTTTCATCCTATTATTCATTTATAAAGCGGGTTATTTTGGTAGACAGATCTAGAGCATGTTCTTCCTGTCCCTGAAAAGCTCAGATGTACCGTGTTGCGCAGCAGTCACGCTATCAGCCTCCTTACACCCTGTCTCCACGGTAACAGCACCACTGGCCAGGGGCATGTCCCTTATTACCCCCTGGCTTCAGTTCTGGAAAGATGCGGCTGGTTACCTTTAACGTCTGTTCTCGTCTCACTAGATGTCTTCTATTTCTTTCTTTGCCAACAGAATTACTTCAGAGACGCCTGGAACATTTTTGATTTTGTCTCCGTCCTTGGAAGCATCACTGACATATTAGTGACAGAACTTGGGGTAAGTGCTGTGGAGTGTTTAGACCAAATAAAATGTGTTTTTTTGCAGCCAAACACTATTTTAAGATTTGTCCAATTACATTGGTTCATGGACTCAAGTCAGTTTTCTGTTTCTGTTCTCAGCAAATATACATTTTAAATGAATTTAGAGGAGTCCCCCAAAGTTGTTGATCACCGTCCTATTGCAGCCAGAAAGTGGCCCACTGGGCAGTTCTCTTTAGCTCACAGTCCTCAAAATATAGCAAATACCATTACTGAAACAACTTTCAGGCATAAACATAATTTGTATTTTACCAAATTATTCATGAGCTTTTTGTAAAAGCCTAAAGATAATCATTAGCATTAATTTACAAACAAGAGACCATCAGTGCTAAGGCTTAAGTAATACTGTGAAATAATATTGGATAAACAATAATCCTAGACTGATTTTTACCTCAAGTCAGGTAAAGATAAATGTTCATCACACCACATACGCACAAAGGTGGAGCTAAAGCAAAAGACTGGCAGGAGGAAACAGCCTTACTCTATCCAGGTTACTAGATTACCACCAATGACAAGACACGAGCAAATCACTGCTCCTGTCCAAGAAATAATCCAGCATGTGTGGTTTTTACACTTTAGGCATACAAGATAGTATCTGTAATAAAAAGCTATGATGACAAGTGGATGTCAATTGTCAAAAAGTTTTACCGCATCGAAAATACAACCGAGTGCAACTGGACGACAGACTTGTACAGTCTGATGTTTCTGGTTAACTTTAAACCAGAGACGTATTTTTTGCCTTTAACCTGCTACGTGTTTAAACAAACTCATGTTTATCTCATTTTTTGCTGTGATGTTGTTCTTTGTATGTCTAACACGATGTATGTGTGTTTTATTCTGTACATACAAGCTTAATATATTTGTTCATATAAGACTTAATATTGGTGGATTTCAGTAACAGTTTCAGCCTCTCTCTGTTGTCCATCTGTTGTCTTTTTTACTTTGCACCAAAGAGCCAATTGGAATTTGTTGTTATAAAACCTTTCTTTGTTGTACTGAAGTCTTCTTCTCATTCACACTGACTAGATTAGCAGTAACTGTGCTAAGTACTGCAATCGAATTGTGTTTTAAGATGATTAAGGACACCCTCTGGCCATGTTGGAGGTGCTGAATTTACATGTTTGCCGCCTGAACAGACTTTAATGGACATCCGAGCTGTTTGAAACAATGAACTGATTCTTTTAGGCATCTGATTGATTTATTAGTCAGGATGGAGTCAGGCTGTAGCAGCTGAGGCACGTCTGACTTTGCAGCTAGTTCCTCAAGGAAACGCTAGTTTTGGTATGAATACATCACATGACTTTTTTTTAGTTGCATAGTTACATTTTGGATGAAAACAAAACCAGCAGTTATTAGTCAACAAAAACGTCCTCCTAATCCTATCAATATTTTTCCTTTTCCCTTGACTTAAATGAGAGATACGTGGTTATCTCTGTTATGTCTAGCCTGGTTAATCATTACATTAACATTACTCATTTTAACAGCTGAAAATTCAGGCATATACGACCAAGTTTAACCAACCAAGATTTTTCTTTTTTGCCTCAATAAGCAAAGGATAAGAGTGAGTGACTGAAAAAAAAGACTGTCAGACCTACAGCAAATGGCCATGCAGAAACAAAATAAATATTATGAGACGTCAATTTCTGTGTCATCCTAATGTGAGTAATGGTCTAAGTCAGGCCACCCTATAGCACTAAAGGGCGACTAAAAGGCCGCCACTGACCGTGTAGCTTTGTGATGCCATCAAAGAGAGGCTGAACACACTGTGTCTCAACTTAACCGTTATTGTTGGCTTGAAGTTTTTCACTGCCTTTGTACTGACACCCATAATGATTCCGTCTTCCTCTTCTATCTCTTTACATGCTTTCTTTAAACCTCTCTACTTTGTTGGCGCCCTACGCCCCTCCCACTCCCTCCTCCTCCTCCTCCTCTGATAAAAAAAAAAAAAATCCATCCAATCAAAATGCACTATGAAATCCTTCATCGTGTTCTCCATCCGTGCTGCGCCATGACATGTGGTGGTGGTGCTGTAATGATGATGATGATGATGATGATAATGATGGTGATGGTGTGTGTTTCGCCCCATGTCCCTGCCCAATAAAACACACAACCAACCCCCCTCTGCTGTCCCCCTGAAAAAAATATCTTTCACCAACTCACAATTTACTACAACTTACCAAAAAATGTTTAAAAAAAACAAACAAACAAAAAACTCCCTCCCCATTCATCTTTCTACATCTTCGCACATGTAGAATCTGGTTGGTTTGTAATTTATCTCTCAAAGCTTTCTGCTGCATCCTCATTGGCCATGTGTACCCCCCCAGTTCATTTCTTACCCCCCAACCACCCGCTCCTTCATGACCAGTCTCAATCCCCAACCCCAGTGCATGCGCTTTCTGGATGATGACATTTTAAACACTTGATGACGTAGAAAATTTCCTTATCAATGTAATACATTTTTAATACACACACTATAAAATGCCTTTCGATTAGAATATCTCAGTAACCAAGTACTTGATTTGTCCCCCACACTGTCCAGGAGTTCACTTCTTTTCCAGTAGGGTGGATTAGTGACAGATTTAAATAGCTTACCTGTTACTAGGCAAACCAAACTTTTGTAGTTGCCTTCTGGCATCGTGCAGCAAATTGGTTCCACTCAGATCTATTTTGAGATGTGATAAAATCGGATGTTTTTGTCTTGGGTTTTTTTGGCTCACGGCATCTATGTGGGGGTAGTGCTTAACATCTCAAATATGACATATAATTAATACAAAACATTTAATCTTTAGTTCATACTCATTGTAGCAGTGTGAGGGTATACATGCTTGTGTCTTGACAGCATTAGCAGCTACAAATTACCAGAACTTATGGTATGTTTCTGTTAATCTTGTAAGACACTGAGAAAGAAATTCTCTCATCTTTAGAGTGCAACTAAATAAGTGAATGTTTGAATCAGGGTCTATGATGTGCTCGGCCCCACTAGCCCCGACTGGTCTGCATGTAGGCCAGCTCTTTCCTCAGAAAGTATGCTGCTATGCCAAGCCATGCCTGCACTGAGGCTGCTCTCTAGCTCCCTCTTTTTCCTCTCCCCTCTTCCTCTTCATGCTCCTCTTGCTGCCTTGTCTGTCAACCACAAAGTGCCAGGGCCTCAGCAGAGAGTTTGGCTGTTGTACATTAAATATTTCTCTGCGTGACACTGCAAAACACCAGAAGGTAGACTCACAAAGAATCAACAGGGCTGCTAGCTGGGATTCTGGCTCTAGGAATCACTAATTTTGATTTTAAATGTTATCTGTTCCTATTTTGGAACTTGAAAATGTTTGAAAGAGGGATCTAGACTTAACAGTTATCCTGCATGAGCAAATCAAATTGATATCTAAAACTGTACAACCTCAATTTTTGCAAAAAGGGCCAGTTAAAATGTGAATTGCATTATTAAAATGCACACATGCACCGTCGTAGACATTTAGAATGAGTAAGTTTAATGAAAATGAAAGTTGGTGATTCATAAAGCTGAATCCATGTTGAGGGTACACAGCCTTGAGTGAAGTCTGTCCAGTTTAGATACACATTGACTGTTCTCTGGAGATGAGATGCCAAGTTTGGACCGGATTTGGAAAGAAAACTTTCAAGCAAAATTTGAAAGTGTCATATTCAGCGTCACTTGCAAACAAACCCAAGCCATGCTCTTCTTGCCAAAAGAAAGTGTGTGTCTGATTGTGTGTGTGTGTGTGT